ATTTCGGGGTAACATTGTCACAACAAACCCCTGCTGAAGACGAAAGCCTAAGACTCACCCTTTCTGGCGCATCCATGGCAACAAACCAACGAACAATCTTAACGTTGTCGTCATCAGACTCTTCATTCGGCACACCGACTTCCCCTTCAACCAGTATTTCGTTATCAACAGAGGAGCTAATGGATGCAGAGATAGGTAACCTATCTCCTACCGGCGTAATAGGTGAGTTATCTGAAAACTAGTATTGAATATGGATAAGATTCAAATGAAGAGATGGTGATTATATGCTATCATTTGCCAGGTCCACCAGCAATGGAGGACTATTACACAGACCCGGATGGACCATTGTGTTTGACTCCAAGAGTTCCCATAGTTGGGGGGATAACAGTAGGTACGCCGGTAATGGAAAAGGGATCTGGTTCAACTCAGGGGAAAGAGGTTCCGGAGGGAGACAGACAAATGGCGGTAAGGGAAACGCCAGTCCCGACAGTGTTGTATGATCGGGATGCACCTCCGTATTTCGATGACCCGGGAGAAGAAGGTAAACAAGGGATAATAATATTGTTTTTGGGCTAATATTTATATATCGAGATAAGTGTTTTTATAACACGCTAAATGATGGTGTGTGGATAACATTGACAGATTACCTTCAACGAGCGCTTAAAGATGCTGATTATGAAGGGGATGACATTTTCGTGGGAAGGTTGTTCAAAAACAAAGATGACTGCTGCACAAAACTAGCTATTCATGCAATCCGACGAAAGTTCCACTTTATACATGCAAAATCTTGTCCAACAATGGTGATAGCTGTTTGCGTCGGGACGACATGCCCGTGACGGGTTTATGCAACAAAATTAGAAGACATTGAGCGGTTTGAAGTAAGGACGGCAATACTGCAGCACACCTGCAGCGTGGACGCCAGAGGAGACTTCCACAAGCAAGCATCAACAGCAGTTATAGGGAAGCTGATGAGGACACGGTACGTTGGGGTTGGAAGAGGACCTAGGCCTAATGAGTTGCGGAGAATGCTGAGGCAAGAATTCAGTCTCAATGTTTCTTACTGGAAAGCGTGGAGAGCAAGAGAGATTGCAATGGACAATGCTATGGGCTCGGCTATGGGGAGTTTTGCATTAATCCAACCATACTTCAAACTTCTGATGGCAACAAATCCAAACTCTATTACTGAGCTAGAAACCGAGACAGATAACTTGGGAGTTACCAGGTTTAAGTATCTATTCTTTGCTCTACACGCATCAATCAAGGGGTATGCTTACATGAGAAAAGTTATTGTCATCGATGGAACTCACTTGAGAGGCAGGTATGGAGGTTGTCTAGTAGCTGCAAGCGCCCAAGATGCGAATTTCCAGGTTTTTCCACTCGCATTTGGAATTGTTAATAGTGAAAACGACGAGGCGTGGACCTGGTTCATGACGAAGCTAACTGAAGTTGTCCCAGATGAACCAGACCTAGTGTTCGTCTCAGACAGGCACGCTTCCATATACGCAAGTATTAGGAAGGTAAACATTGGTAGATAACATATTATTTACCACAAAATCAGTCTCTTTTACGTATAAGAACTTTGTTTATATTTAATAAATAATTGTGAAAATGAAATGTTGAAACTAATACAGTAAAGGAAATATGGGTTATCTGATAATAACATTTGTATTTAATATATGAGGGGTTACCAAATAAGATAAAATAAAAATATAAGAGATATCTAAATACATAAGTTTTTAAATACAAAAATAAATACTAAGCAAACTAGAAATGAGATATGCTAATGTTATAGAGTTCCGTTAAATATGATGACAGGTGTATCCAATGGCATCCCACGCGGCTTGTGTGATTCATTTGAAAAGAAATATAATCGCAATCTTCAAAAACGAAGCCCTAGGAAGTCTAGTGTCGAGCGCAGCCAGGGCCTACCGCCTATGTGATTTCAACAAAATCTTTGCGGAGATTCGAGCAATGAATGGGCCATGTGCTGACTACCTCACCGGAATAGGGTTTGAGCATTGGACCCGATCTCATTTTGTTGGTGAAAGATATAACGTGATGACAAGCAACATCGCAGAATCGTTAAACAATGTGTTGACAATGGCAAGAGACTATCCGGTGATCTCGATCCTCGAATCTTGGAGAACAACTTTGGTTACGTGGTTTGCTCTACGGAGGGAAGCAGCTCGTATGGAAGAAAGCATATTGCCTCCAAAGGTAAATGATATGGTGATAGAGAACTTTGAAAAGGGGGCAGGATTTGGAGTGTTGAAAATAGGGGATGGGCTATATGAGGTGAGAGATATGGTGGACTGCGGGTACGCCGTAAATCTGTGGGAAAGAACATGCACCTGTAGACAGTTTCAGCTTCTTACTATACCATGTTCCCATGCAATAGCTGCCGCAATCAGAGAAGGGATAAGAGTTGACACCATGGTTGGAGTCCACCACACAGTTCCACAACTACGGTCAGCGTACAAAGAAATGATTATGCCCGTCCCAGATATGGCAACACTAGCACCATCACCAAATGATATCGGGGGAGGGAAGCTAGCGCCACCATATGTTAGACGGCCACCAGGGCGGCCAAGAAAAAGGAGACTATTTTCTCGGGGAGAATTCAAGGTGACTTAATAGTTATTTGCTATTTAAATAATGGTAAAAATTTTGTTATCGGGATATCTAATATTTTCCTGATGAATTATGTTTCAGAGAACGTCGGGTAAGCGCTGCACACGCTGCCGTTCACTGGGCCACAATCGAGCAACTTGCAGGGGACCAATGACGGTAATAAATTTAAATTATATTTTCAATATAAAAAAAACTTAAGAAAACCTTGTTACCGAAAATTGTGATAACACACAGGAGCCGTAGAAAGCAGGGGAAGCTAGTTTTTTGGGAAAGAAGAACGGATGGAAGACGTTGGGCAAACTAAAATTGCTCGACGGGATGTTAAATAAATAAAGCTGATGATGCCAGTAGAATAATTTTGGTGTATAGAATGCGGATTCTAGTGGCCTAATATGTATAATTATTGAAGAAAATACCCATCCGTCGGTTACTGTTTAATTATTTAATGAAAGCCAGTTAATGTTCATATCCCCAATAAATCTGTTGGCATTGTATGGGAAGTTTGGACTACGCGTAAGAAGAATGTTATCGAGCTACCATTGATAAAACGATAACATATTTATTACGAATTTGGTATAAAGAAAAATATTGGGGAACCTAAAAAAACAACTGACATACGAAACAAATTACTGCGATAAGGGTTTGTTTAGACCATAGCCAACTGATTTATAGGATAAGAAACAAATTAATGCAAGATCTATGGAATTTTGAGGGAATTGGTGGGTACAGATTCTCACCATCAATCAAGATAACACATTGGTTATATAACTTTGTGAGATACACTTGTATGAAGTCTAAAACAAATGATATTGTTATTATTACTGTGTTACCAACATGTATAAACAGATAAACTACTAATAATAAATAATACAAAAAATCCTATAAAATAATGAACAAAGTAAGTTAGTTGTTAAGAAAGAAGTTACGTAGTAAACATATAACTAATTTGGATGTTTCTTTAGAGGTACAAAAATCGAATTTAACCTCTCTTGTTGAAACCGAGGGTTCCACTTCACCTCTCGTTATTAAAATCGATTTGGGGAAACTTACAAAATTAGGGTTACCTACCTCTCTCCAAGGACACTTCAGAGTCTCTTCTGCTTCACTAGTGTGCAGCTTCCTCTCCGGTTCTTCTTCACTCGCATCTGCTTGATTTTGTTTATCTCTGAAACAATCAAGTTATGAGTCAATTTTCTACTTCTGGTTCATCTCAACTCACTTCGAGAACTACTCGCAGAGGTGTTCCGAGTAGATGCTGGTGTGGTGACGAGATAACTACCTTCACTTCAAAGACAGATGAAAACCCATATCGAAGATTCTACAGATGCGTTAGGGGCGTCCTGGTAATGAATTGGTTAAATAAATTTATGAAAATTTATTTACCTCAGTAATTTAAGCTTCCGATTTGGGTCTTTTTTTAGGATAAAAAGGAAAAACACCTATTCATTTGGGTTGATGATGCTCTTCTAGAGGAGATTAGAATTGTTGAAAGGAGGCACAACCAACTCCTAGAAGACGTCAATGATTTAAAGAAAATGGTCATGGAGAATGTAGAGCTGCAAAGTAAGATGGTGAAGGAGATGGAAAGAGAGATGAACAAGATGAAGAATGAGATAATTGAGCAAAAGCTGAAGGTACCAAAGGAGAGTACGGAAAAGGCGAGCATGAAATCAGTTTGTGTACTCGTGGTTGTGGTGGTTTCAATAGCGTGGCTTTGTCGAAAGGTTCTGTGATCTGTTTTGTATGTGGATGGGTCTAGTTAAGTTAAGATTTAGACGCTAAAAGAATGAACAATCTAAAGTTATCGGTTAATCAAGAAGTTACTTGGATGTGCCTTGTTAAGATTTAGAAGTTTTAAAGAATGAACAAATATAAAGTTAGTGTCTAAGCAAGAAGTTACGTGGGGAACATATTACATATTTAGATGTTTCTTTAGAAGTACAAGAATCGAATGAAACACAGATAAGAATGTTTGAAAGTTATCTGACTAACATGTTAGTTAACTATCATTAGTAATTTTACAGAACATATAATTTGTTCTATAATTAAACTAACATATATACGTAATTAATTGGGTATTTCGAAACTTCTTAAATAACAGAACGAATCACTTGTTCTGACTTCATCTCTTATTCATATAAATATAAGTAACAAATGGTTTGCTCCGATAAAACTTTCCTTTCTGTTAAATGTTATCTCTCCTAAAAAACAAACACATATATGACATTATTAGGTTATGTCTGTAACAAATACATTAACTATATTAGTTTATCGTTGTTGATGAGAAAAAGGCAAAATTTAATGGAAATTAAAGGATAATAATAATGATCCGAAACGAAGTAAGTTCAATATAAAGGACAAAAGAGAGTACTAACAAATATGGAATAGAACATGGGAAATATTATATGAAAAGAACATAGTACATACTAAAACAAAACAAGGGGAGAACTACGGGACACCAGCGAGAATGATAGCAGAGACAAGTTTTTTGGTTTCAGCTTCGATGAATTCGGGAAGAAATTCAGCACAATCATCCATACCACCAGCAGAATGCGCATGGATGAGAAAGATAGTCATCAAGCCGGAATCAACATGTGAAGTCACCTGCGGGATGCAAAGAGATCTTTCAACTGAAAATGGAATAGGTAAGAGCTGGCTCATTATTGGATTAGATGCCGCCTGTCTGAAGAGAATAGGAAGCATTTTGGAGAGAGGCTCGATATCCGCCTTGATGCTAGCATCCGTACGCAAATGAACATTAGAATCGAGAACGGTAATCTTGGCGCAATTAAGATCAACACATAAGGCAACCCAATGTTTTTTGTCAAAGTTGAATGGCAGATAAAGGTAGTCAACTTCAGTAAACAGCTCAGCACGGTCCAGCTCCCCAACACCAGAAACAGTATCAACCAAGGCTGTAGGAAACTGGAAATCTTGAGGAACAGGGGCTTTGGTGAACTTCGGATAAAGGCGGCACAATTGAGAGATAAACTTGGTATCAAGCACATCAACACGAAGTTTTCCGCAATCCACCTCGTGTGTATGGAGAATGTGCCTGCTGAATTTTAACAGGGCGTCCATGACCTACAATATAGCAATCGATTAAAATGATTATCGGATAACTACTCAAGTTAACCCGTAACAATATTATTATATATCAGATAACCTTGTTCGTCAAAGGTTTTTTCCTCTCAATTAACTCAAGGACATCCTTGCTGGTGATAGAAACATCGGGGCCTAAAGAAATAGAGCTGCAAAATCGGTAACAAAATTATTAACAAATAAAGAAATTATCTATCTAACATAACAAATGCCAGTAAGAAAAAGAAAGATAAGAAAAACCTTATCGCTTTCAGTTTTTTCAAGGAACGGTTAAAACGCTCTTCGGGATCTAAACATCCACTAGTATTGGCGATGGGAGAAGGGTGTCCTACCAAAAGCTTCGTTTTCTTATCAAACTGAAACCGACCATCTAACTTGGAAGATCTCGTTCTAAGCCTTTTACTCCTTCTTCCTCCATTATTACCAACAACACTAGTCTGAGATGGAACATCTCCCTGCATAAGATAACAAAATGAAAGTGCCATTTTGAAAATAATGCATGATTGGAAACGCAATAAAAGGAACAAACCTTCTCTGGGACCAAAACTTTGTTTGACTCACAAACAGAAATTGGGGCAGCCACAAGAACATGGGGATCCTGAAAAGCAAAAAGGAATCAAAATGCTAATGATGTAACCCTACTAAAGATAATGACTAAGAAATAGATAATGAGGAAAAGATTTTTCAAACCTGAAGAGGGTCAACTGCCATCTCTGGAGCAGTTTCATTTCGGGGACCCTATTAACCGATAACTGATAGATTAGAAAACAATGACGTGTAACTAATTGATTGGTTAACTAACTAATCTAACAGGTAACTAATTGATTAACAGGTAACTAATTGATTAGTTAACAGGTAACTAATTGATTAACAGGTAACAAATTGATTAGTTTACTAATCTAATGTTTATTGGGTAAGATTATTAAACTAAACTAATGATTATTGGATAACAGATAACTAATAGATTATTAAACTAAATATGTAATTATGTAATAAATAATTATATAACAAGGTAAGAATCCTATTAACAGATAATTAAATGATTAGTTCCTAATAAAAGGTTAACTGGGTAAGATATGAGAGTCGAAAACGAGAGAGACATTATACCTCAATGGGTTCCCTGTCTTTTGGAAGAGCATCTCCACTTGATTGTTTCTATACCCGATAAGAATAAAGTTATAAAATAAGTAATTATGTAACAATAGAAAATACTTACATAGATTTCCAACAAACCTCTTCATCCACTTTAGCTTCGGTTTGGGAGTCCTATTAACAGATAACTAATTGATTAGTTAACTAATCTAATGAATATTGGGTAAGATGTGAGAGTCGAAAAATAGTCAATATACCTGAATAAGTTCCCTGTCTTTTGGGGAAGCATCTAAACATTGTAATTCCTATAACCAATAACAATAAGGTTATGTGCTAAATAATAATATAGCTTGTTCAAATAGTAAGAGATTTTTATTACAAACCTCCTCCCCTATATCTTCAATTAGGGGATCCTATTGACAGATAACTAGTTGATTAGAAAACTAATAAAAGGTATACTGGATAATATATGATATTGTACCTGAATAGGTTTCCCGTGTTTTGGGGAAGCATCTCGACTTGATAATTCCTATCACAGATAACATCAAAGTTATGTACAAAATAATTTTATAACATGGTAAAATAGTTATAGATATTTATTACAGACCTCGTGACATGTGGCTTCACTTTGGGAATCCTATTGACAGATAACTAGTTGATTAGTAAATTAACTAAAGGATTGAGGGATAAGATATGATATGCCGTTTTAAAAAAGAAGGAATATTGTACCTGAATAAGTTCACTATCCTTGGGGGCAATATCTTCAATTGCTAACTCCTGTCCAGATAACAATAAAGTTATGGTTTTTGTAATCATATTACCTCCGAAATAAGATTGGGGAATATTTTGAAAGACCTCTTCATCATCTCCTTCAGTGTGTGCTGCTTCCTTATCGGCAACATCTCCCATTTCCGTGTCCTGGAACAGGTAATAATTAGGTTATGAAAATATTATTAAAGTTAGCTAGAAAACTTACTAGAGTGGAAAATTCGAAAACATCTTCATCGACTCTAGAAGAGTCGGAATTGACGCTAACACCACACTAACACTGAAACCCAGCAACAATATAAGTAAGATAACTAACCAATAATGATTAAAAAAAATTGAAACTTCTGCAAACCTCAGAAGAAACAACAGTGGAAGACACAGTGGCAAAAACAAAGAATAATATAAAAAAAAAAAAAAATTAAACATTAACGTCTAACCCGCACATTATTCACCGGATCTCTGATTGCATGATCACCCTGCAACAGATAGGTATATGTTATAAAACATTATATCTAATATATATTGGCATTGTATCCAGGAAAAATATAAATTATATACGGTAACAATAATATTAGAGACGTAAAGATGGCTATATTAAAAGACAATAACCTCCAAGTTATCATCATTGTTGTTTACCGCGGTGTTACCATTGTTACCATATTCGGTGGACACTTTGCTACTTTCCTCTAATGACTGCAGGGAGAATAATTTCGATAGTAATTAGGGGATAACATAGAAATTAACATTTTCGAATGATATAGGAAAACTACTAACCGGATTAGAAAATAAAATGTAAAGTCAGATCATATATAGGCAACATGGTAGGACAGATACGTTATTAGAGATACGAGGCAAAACGGATATCAATGAATTTAGCTACTAACCTGACAATTAACCAAACCGTTTTCTTCAACAGCAACATGACTCGCTAGACCATCCCCTGACCTTGACCCACTGCAATCGCCAGATAGAAAGCGGTTATAATAAGAAGCTATCCCTTCAACAGAATTGTTGAGTCCCAATCCCTTGTCGGGCGCTTGGGGAACGCGATGGGCAGCTTTGCCAATGCGAGAAGGACGACGACTCGGCGGACGGAGGGGAAAGAGAGTGTCAAAATCATCATCTCCATCGGAAATGTGGAGAGGTTTAGACTGGGGAACAGGAACCTTTTTCCCTTTCCTCTTCTCCGCAGAAACTTCTTTACCATTTTCCGGAGGAACATCTTCCCCATTCTCCGCAGAAATCAAAGTGTTTGCAATAAACCAATCAGAAACACCTTTAATGATCTTTTTGTACTGCGCATTCAATTTAGCATCTAACATCCGAGATAACTCGTTCATATCAACCAAACCAACAGATTCTTCATCAGTATGCACAGATTGCTGAGTCCTTCGAATCCCGGTTGGATTTTTTGGGATTCTGCCCTGCTTTGAAGATTTCCTGACACGACCACCTTTCAAACTTGCAGTCCTTTTTTGTTTTTTGGGGGCTACAACAACTTCAGATGGGATGCACCCACCAGGAAACATATCATTATTGAACTTGAATCCTTCCTCCGCCAACTTTACCATAGTGTCTACCCGCGGATCTACTTCGTCATCTGACCACGAAACATCTTCTGCAGGATCAAGAAGAACTCCGGGATGGATGATAGGATCAACGTGAGTCTGAAAAGTAAACAAAATCCTTAAACAATTATGAAGGGAAAACTGCAGTTAACAGATAAAACGATATAATTATTTGAGTATCAGGTAACAAAGAATTTAACAGGAATTAAAACGATTATCACCTGGCACTTCGTGTCTAAAACTTTGGCGTTACCGAGCTTAAACGGAACTACCTGACGAAGAGTCAGTTCAATAGTATCTTCATCAGACTCAGAACCGACTGTCTCCTCGGACACAGGACCTTCTTGAATAGCGGGAGCGGCTTGAAGAACAACAAGCTGTAGGGCGTATAATAGGCCTTGCACAGCGACAGAAGTAGTTGCAAGCTGTTCAAGTTCTCTTTCTTTAATCGAATTCATCATCATCTCAAAAGTCAATCGACCCCACGGATAAGTGAGAAAAGAAGACAGGTTTTCCGACATCTCAGCGTGCTCTTTAATAATTTTGGGATGATGGGATGTTGGTAGGAGATATCCATCAACAAGCGCAAGAACAGCATACCGAATACGCAATGACGGATCATCAGTAACTTTCTTCTTAAGCATGGTGATAACACGTTCAACAGTAACATCGGACTCGAGCCCAAATAATGTGCTATAAAACGGAATCTCTTTGCCAGCAGTCCCCTTCCTTTTTTTCTTCGGGACAGCAGGATATCGCCCACAAGCAAGTCCGGTTACCAGATGAAACTCACGAAGAGAAAATCTAACTGGGGTACCAGCATAAACAACCCAGATCTCGTTGGCTTTGGCTATGTCCAACTGGCGACCAAGCAGATAAAGACCGAAACTGGCCGACCAAGCTGGTTTGTTTGGGAAATCCAACAACCCGCCGAGTGGAGAATCTCGGATAAGATCGATTTCTGTAACATCAAGCGAGTCGATAATACCATTAAGAATTTTCATCTTATTGTACACATTAACCCTCTCCCCAAGCGGTTCTTCACCAGCGGCGATTAGACGGTGCGGGAGGTCAAGCTCCTCCATCTACAAAACCCAGAAAAATTTAGAATTTGATAAGAAAAAAATATGGAAGGGTCCATAAGAAATGAACAAAATCTCATTTTAATGAGATACTTACTTGGACGAATTAATCGAAAATGAAGCGCTTCAATCGGAAAATCGATTTGACTATCGGAGAGAAAAAAAAAAACGCAGAGAGAACAGAGAGAACGAACACTAAGAATACTAAGAGGCAAAAAAATGCAGTAGAAATAGACACACACAAACGCAACTCTTCGAACAATTCGAACCGTTCTCATGATTATTAATGCAACTGTTCCCAAAAGAAATCTCGGAAATCACATTTGTTGAAGAGATATGATATCTCTCTATTCTGACACAATTTTTTCAAGAGATACGATATCTATCTATTCTGACACTAGCCTACTCGTTCCTCATGTCTCTCACTTACAATCTGATAGGCGGGTAGGGGTTAACAGGTCATTATTTTGCTACAGAACCTTCCCAAACAGTGTAAAATTGTGTCAGTTAATTACGGGGTCGTCTGTGGTCATCGAGTGTAGTTTCCCTTATATATATATATATATACAGTTTTATCCATACAACTATAAATTACAAAAAAAAAGTGATCATTTTCACAATATATTGGGAAAAAAAAAAAACTAGGATAGTAGGTTGACAAAAGAAGAATAACTATGCCAGAAGGCAGTAATGAGCATCTATTACTTAATGATAAAATATTCATTACTTTTAGTTTTGTAAAGAGTCTATTATTTAAATATATGGTACAATACCTTTTATATGTGCTTTGTGGGAAAAACGGTCTATTTCCCCCCCGAGAAGTATCGCATCATAACAGATAGAGCCCAATCTTTGACTCCGGTCCTAATGTCCCTGAAATGGAAGTTCAACACCTAAATGTCCCCGAATCGAAAGTTCAACACTTGAATGTCCCCGAATCGAAAGTTCGAGAGCTAATACCACACAGAGATGGGTTTAATCGGTTTACTGTATTCAAAAACGATTTACGAACCAACTAAACCTAATTATAACCCGAGTAAACCAGATTTTTCCCAATTACGACCCGATTTACTCTCTAAAACCGAAATCCCCAAACAAAACCCTAAAAAAAAAAATCCCCAAATCGAAAAGAAAGAACCCTAGAGAGAAATTGCGATTTTGTTGATCTAATCTGCTGCTCAAACTCCATCAACAGTCTACTCTTGTCATCACCACTTAGTTCCAAAGATGAGACATAAATTTTGGTTGATGAAATCAATGGGGTCTTCGATATTGATAAGCTTTGATTAGTCTCTCTTCTTCTCCATGACGATTTCTAAGATTGATGAGATTTACCAAACGATCTGGGATGCAAGTATTCAGAGTCTTTCCTCATCCTTAGTTCAGTTTCTTAATCGCTTCTTTGTAACTTCAAATTCGATTGATTTTCTGTAAATTCACTCATTATTGACAATTGCTTTTGTGAAACTTCAAATTGGGGTTTTTTTTATCGTGAATTCGTGATTTTATAAGTTTTCTTCAAACCCTGTTTTTTATGGATTCGATGTGGTGAAGATGAATACACTGAACATGGATGGGAAGAAGAAGAAGAGTAAAGTGAAAAGATCTAGCTTTGTTGAGGAAGAAGATGATAACAAGTATCATCATTGGCTTGATCGCAAGGAGAAGAGGGAAATCGGCGGTTATGGTAAAGGTAAAGGTTGTGGTGGTGGTGTAAGAGCTGATTCTTCGACGAGGATTGGTGTTGGGGCAACGGCGGCGGGAACGACGAAGTTTCCATGGAGCAACATGAGATTTGTTGGTTTATGAGCAGATTATTATGAAATTATTGATTTGTATTTCTTTAGCTATCAAATTATGATTGTGTTGTTGAATTATTGAAGAACTATGATAATTATTGGGGTTTGAAATCGAAATTGGGGATTTGGAATTTAGGGTTCTAAATTTGGGGATTGTGAGGTTTTGAAATCGAATCTGGGAAATATGAATTTGAGACTGGGTCGGGTTACAGGATATAATCGGATATTTAATCGGTTTGGTTTTGGGAATACATGGTTTGGTCTCGGGTTTACAGCTAAAACCGACGATACCCAGATTCAGGGACATTTAAGTGTTGAACTTTCGATTCGGGGACATTTAGGTGTTGAACTTCCATTTCAGGGACATTATGACCGGGGTCAAAGATTGGGCTCTATCTGTTATGATGCGATACTTTTCGGGGGGAAATAGACCGTTTTTCCGTGCTTTGTGCTTTGTGTGGATAAACTAGTCAAGAATCATGATAAATTACTTAATGGGTTTTGTTGTGGCATTCCTTAGCCAAGATGTCTTCAGTCTTCTTCTCTTCCAGTGTCCTCCTATATACCAATGTATTGTCGCACTGGGCCTTAAATGGGCTGAAATGGGCTGAGGTTAAGGCCTATTAGCCCGTTAGAGAATTCTGAAGCCTAACTAGCATATAAAGTTTAAAAACCCTGGTTCCAGATTTCTTCTTCTCTCCCAATTGAACGACCAAAAAGTTGCAGAGCACACACTCTCTCAATACAGAGATGGCGAGCACTGAGCCAGAGCGCGAGAACCGTGAAGAAGAAGCTGAAGTCAACGAAGATGAAGATACCGGAGCTCAGGTAGCTCCGATCGTTAGGCTTGAAGAGGTTGCAGTCACCACCGGCGAGGAAGATGAAGACGCCGTCCTCGATCTGTTTGTTACTCGTTCTCTTACTCTTTTAGTTCCGATTTCTGTTTCCTTTGCTCTGATTAGGTTAGTCTCGGATATTTGAATAAAAGATGTCTTCTGTGTTTTGATCCGTAGGAAAGCGAAGATGTATCGATTCGATAAAGAAGGAAACCAATGGAAGGAGAGAGGAGCTGGAACTGTTAAGTTATTGAAGCATAAGCAGACTGGCAAAGTTCGACTTGTTATGAGACAATCTAAAACCCTAAAGATCTGTGCCAATCATCTCAGTATGTTGTTGCTCTCATTTCTGCGTCTCTCTCGTTGAAAGATCTACTTTTTTTTCTTTCTAAGGGCTGAATTTGTGTATGTATCTCTTCTGGAATTATGATGCAGTTTCGTCTGGGATGAGTGTTCAGGAACATAGTGGGAATGAGAAGTCTTGTTTATGGCACGCTACTGATTTCTCCGACGGCGAGTTGAAAGATGAGCTTTTCTGCATTCGATTTGCTTCTATTGAGAGTAAGTTTACTTGTGAAAATCCTCGTCTTTCTCATTCCCCGTATACTTGTTTTCTCAATATTGAGAGTAATGTGGGTACATTTAGTAGTTTTCGAGATTTAATTTGTGATAGTTGAATCAGGGAAGATGGTTTTGAAGGTATTCTTTATAAGACTCTAGTTGTGATGATTGAAGTCTGTATTTGTTGCCCTGAACTGTGATTCATCAAGTCCATATAGAAAGATTGGGACTGAAATGGAAATCCTACTGCTTTTGTAGTGGCAATACTTGGAATGTTGCCTCATTTTAGGGGGACATTGTTGTCTTAGATGACTACTCAAAGTGTTAACTCTTAAGAATTAACATCTCACGCCATTTTTCCAAGACTCAGTTGGTGTCTGGGGTTGTGAGTCTTATTACTAAACAAATAAACATAATGGTTCCATGATCCAATAAGATGTTAAACAACTACCATAATCTTATTTATGTTAAATTAGAAGCTGATATTCTGCTTTTCTGTGATGATTAAAGAGAAATCTCCTAGGTATTGTGATGTCTGCATCTGTCTTTTTGTTTTAGATTCTCAAGTGGCTAACGGGTAGTGTTGCATCAACAGATTGCAAAACGTTTATGGAGAAGTTCACTGAAATAGCTGAAAGCCAGCAAGTAGGGAAAGAGAGCACAGAGGGCGACGAGGCTGCTGGTTTAATAGAGAATCTATCAGTTGAAGAAAAGAAAAATGATGAGAAAGCCAAGGAAGCAGAAGAGAAAGAGCCTGCAAAGGAAGAGAAAGAAGCAAAAAAGGAGAAGGAAGAAGAAGAGAAGAAAACAGAGGCAAGCACTTAAGTGATCAAATTCAAATTGGTTGTTGGCATCACAAGTGTGCTTTGCTTTATTTTAATATATAGATATTATACTTGCCACTGAACATGATGGTAGCTTCAAAAGGAGTCACTCTCGTCTCTCAAAGCTCGAGTCTTTGCGCTGTTTTAGAGAAAGAGAATCTTAAGATTTTTTATGTTGTTGTAAGTGTTTGACTATTGTGTGGTCTCTCTACTGTGTCGTTTTGGCTTAAGATATTAGTATTTGTCATCAAATTATTATCCTTGCTTTCATCTTAATACATCCCAAATGGATTATTGACCAGCAGATTCCAATTCGTATTAGTGAAATAGAACGAACAGAATCGATGGTCTTGCAGAGAGGTGATGGAGAGAGGTGATGGAGAGAGAGAAACGAGGAAGAAGATGATGATGATTAAAATGATTCTGTCATTCTTCTTCAATGATAGGTACAAACGTTATATACAGTTTAAGGAAGGTATCCGGTACAAACCGGTTATATACAAAGCCTATCTAAACCATACTAAACCATTTACACATCTAATATTGGTGTTGCAGCAAATAGGGGATGATAATGTGGTGCTTCTAAAAAGTAAAAACTACTTAATTTAGGGCCCAACAGATTGCATGGACATTACACCGGTAAAACCATAATACGAAAGGCTCCACCACAAATAACACCATGTTTTAAGCACTTCTCTTCTCTCTTGCCTCGCCATTTAATTTCCCTCCGCCCTCCGGCCATGAGCTGTTCCTCCTGCCTTATATTTCATCAATTTGTAGCTTTTAAGTCTCATATCTAACACTTAAATGTATTTTTTTCAATTTTTATCTTCACAATACCACCAGTAAGTGGATGTATGATACTTTACTTAAAGTTTGATGTCAGTGGTAACTATTTCTTAAATATAATTGTACGTTGTAGCCAACTATTATTACTATTAATGGCGAAAAAAACAAACCCGACCGAACCAAACTTCATTAAAAATCATATTTTAGTCAAATATATGCAAGAATACTTCTAAATAAGCAAGTTTCAATCTTAGTTAACTATATGCAAGAATGCTCATATATAATCCAAACCAAAATAAAATTTGGTTCTAACTAGGACCCATAACTCAAAAAAAAAAGGTCAAAAAGAAGTAAAGAAGGCAAAATGCTTGGAAGTTGGAAAAAGAAAGACCCAAATAAGGAGTAGGGTGGTGTTGGCAACTGCAACTGCAATCCTTATTTTATGGGAAGAAGAGTCACTTTTGGTCAATAAAGTTCTTTAGACTCTAATCCCTCCTTCCCTCACCTATCTACATTTATATCTTTCTTATTATTTCCATGACTGCCATTTTCATGGAAAGTCATTTTCTCACACCTATTTGACAAACAATTATTATGCCACTCAAGTACTATACCTGCACTTCTATGTGAAATAATGCAAAGATAAAAGAAAACTCTGATATTCTTGAATGACCCTTAAGCTAACCGAAATTTAGGAAGCATAATTCTACTATTATTCTATAGTACTATAATATTGAGAAGTGAAAACTAGTATCATTTTAAAAATCATGGGGATTTGTTCTTATTTAGGTAAACTCCGTCGCCTTGACGAGTCACTTAGTTTTAAAGATTTACAAGTTTCACCAAGCTCCTCGTGGTTAGGTCATGTGAACATCGAATATATATGTCACAGGTATATATCGATATGATATTATAATATATGCTTTTTGAGAAAAACGAATAAAAGTAGTACTCCCTCTGTTTCGTTTAAATTGTCGTTTAAGATTTTTTCACACAAATTAAAAAAGCATTAAATTTTATGTTTTACTTTTTATTAATATATTTTATAAAAAATTTCATTGGCCAAAACATTAAAACTGTATGAATAAAACTGAAATTTTCACCAAACATTTGCATTGAAAACCTAAAACGACAATTATTATGAAACAAAATTTGAATCCTAAAACGACAACTAAACTGAAACGGAGGGAGTATAAGATTTGATTAATAGAGAAACGTGTAAAGAGATTTTGATGGAAAAAATTGCATAGCGTTCCTCGTCTTCCACTTTTGCTTTATGTTCACGTAAAATCTTCCGATCTCTCTCCCTACTTGCCTTCTTTTCTAAGCTAACTTTCATGTGACCTCCATTACCTATTTCTCTTATTATTATTTTTGATAAACGATTTAATCTCTTCTTATTCTTATATATGTTTAGTTCTTCATCTTACGTATTTATTCTTGCGACTACAAACAATTCCGAATCTTCCACGATTTATAGGGGATGTGTTCTGATTTTTCTTATATTAAAATATAAGCGACGAGAAGGAATATTAAACAACTCTTTAAAGAAATCAAATAATTGAAATGAATAATTATAATGGTATTGTAATGCGTTGTATGACTTATTTTTCTACTAAATGATAATATAAGAGATATGTTATCGGAACGTAAGATTACCCTGATGTATTGAGATTACTTTGTAAGTTGTTTAGTGGTAAGGGATGTGTTGAACCTAAATGCGAGTGTATATAAAACATTTTAATAAAACTTATAAGATATCTTATAGATTGATTAATAATATATAGTTACAAAACAAACCCCACCATTCTTTTAAACTCACAACCTCCACTCTATTAGTTTGGTTGCAACCACAACACACTAAAAGACAAAGGCCCACAACTTTCTCTTCAAGCACTTCTACACATCACATTTCATCAATATTCCAAACAATGATTATGCATGTAATCCATATTCATTAGGATTTATCTTTCCTTCCTCAATATTATTTTCAGGATGACAAATGGGAAGACAATTGGTTCAAGAATGAATTAGGCATTTAGCTACTTCCTTTAAATATTCTTAAAATTTAGAAATTATTGTTGACCAAATATCCTGATTTTATGGGTTTATAATATAAAGGAAAATGACTAATATATTTATTTCATTTTTTCTTCGTAATATACGTAATTTTGATTTACACACATATATAGTTGGCCCTCCAACAAATAAAGAAATCATAGAGAGAAAAGAGAAGTCCCTCCAAGATTATGAGCGAAGAAGAAGACGGCTCAATGAGTGTTAAAAGCAGTCTCTCAAGCTTCCTCAAGATCTTATCTTCTTACAACTCCAATGTCCTTTTAGCTGCTCTAGTCTTCCTTCTCTTAGTCGTCCTCTTCGTCTTGCTTCTTCATTTCTACGCTCGCTTTTTCTGGTCTCCCTCTCATCAAGATTTCTCCGCCGCCGGTAGAAACCGCCGGAGAAGACGAAGAAACCGGAGAAGAACAGTAACGACAACAAGAATCATACCTTCTCTCTCACTCGGAGGTTTCGATGGTGGAGTTAATGCTCCTGCTACTGCTACTACTGCTGCAACAAACGATGACAAAGGTTTGGATTCTTCAGTGATTTCTTCGATTCCTCTGTTTGTTTACGAAGAAGACGAGGAAGAGGAGGAAGAAGAAGAAGAGTGTGTGATATGTTTGGGTTTGTGGGAAGCTGGTGATTTTGGAAGAAAGTTGAGAAATTGTGGACATGGGTTTCACGTAGAGTGTATAGATATGTGGTTGTCTTCTCATTCTACTTGTCCTCTCTGTCGATCCCCTGTTCTCGCCGTGGCCTCCGATGAAGAAAACCTCAAGCCGGCCGTTAACGCCGTCGAAGAAGAAGCAGAGGTTAGATTGCAAATTTTTCCAACCGGAGAAGACGAAAATAACGCCGGTGATCGGAGATTTTCAGTGTCTCTTCCTGTAATGGAGGAGGATGATCTCAAAACAGGGGATGATGACGGAGACGTCGTAGAAGAAGAGGTTAGAATTGAAGTGTTTGATGATGAGGAGATCAACGGTGGAGGATCAAGAAGTGATCGGAGAAGATCAATGTCAATGACGTCATCAGCATCGAGTTCGTTGATGAGAATGTTAAGTAGTAGTAGATCGGAGCGTAACAAAGTGTTCCCGACGGCGAGGCAAGATTCGTCTAAGTAAAAGTGTTATATAGATAATATAAAAAATGTTGTGAAGTGTGAACAATTTTGGAAATGAAACATGAATAACCTAAAGAGGTAATCTATTTGATTAAGCTAATCAGTATGATTATTTCTTCAAATGGAAAGGCAAAATCTAATCTAATTAGAAGATTAGAAGATTTCATGTAAAAAATCTGGACTTGTGATTTCGAAAGATGAAAAAGCGATAGTGAGAGAATCTCAGAGGGATACATCACTCACTTCTCATTTGGTTGGGTTGGGATCAATCAAAAGCAACTAACTACTGTTGAACTTATTGTTGCAAACTTAAAATTATGCTTTTGTATTTTCCAATATTCTTGGCCTCATCTTCTATCTTCCATATCATTTCGTATTCGGTAGGACACCACCATGCTTTGCAGTTTTATTTAAGACTAGTCTCTTTCATGTACATACATCGATTTAGAACTAAATAGATATCGAAAACGAGTGATCAATTAAGAGAAACGTTAACTTTATAATGACCACAACATATAACCTTTATGATATTTCTAGTCTTCAATCAAAGTATGATTTCCTTAAAATGAGCTGAGAGGTTGTTTTCAAAAGTTTACTTTCTTGATTGCTTACTCTAACACTCGTTGTATTTTTAGACCTAAACCCTGAAATCACTCACATTTCTTCAAGTCAAGTCTTTCCCCTAAAGACAAAACCTAACCTATTCACAGAATGGGAAATAAAGAAGAGGCCAAAATCGATGGAGTGAGTGATGAGGTTGATAAGCTTTCCAACAAGGTAAACCTATCTCTATGTCCTCCTTGAGTCAACTGTTTAACCTTTAATATCTGTACAATACAAGACAACCCTCTAAATGATAAATTTAATCATTGGACAAACTGAGGGCGAGAAACAACGATATGAACCGTAGCGCAACCACGCAGGAGTTGCCTTTGACAGGGGTCCGGAAGTCTGCTATTCTTTTCCTCCAAAGACTTCAACAATCCCAATACAACAGTGGGAACTGCTTGATTGAGGACTCTACAGTTTCTCTGTTAATAGTTTGTAACATGATGGTGCACGTACTAATATATTGATACCCCAAAAAATCATTTCATTTCAATCTGTAATTGACATGCCAAGGTTGTTAAGCTGGTGAAATAGCTACATTATGAACCTCAGCTACTTACTTTTCCTTTTGTGCCTCTTTTCTCTCTTTTTGTGAACTGAATATAAACCTAGCAATACGATTTATACCAGTCTGGTCGAGTCAGTTACTAGCCACACTGTCGTTCAGTATAAGCCTCTCACTGGTCGTGCTTCAGTCTCCTTTCACGTTCTCTCGGACTGTGCCATTTGAGCAGTCTTCACCTGCAACACCAGGTGATCCACTTGCTAACTGGTTCTCACTAGCAGAATTTGGATAAGGAGAATATCGCGGATTTGGGCTGCGTCGTGCGTTCCTGTTCTGGGCAGCTGTTGTGCTCCTGGTTGTCTTGGCACGAGCCTTTCTTCCCTGTTAGGTGATTGCCAAAGAAAACAGAAATAAGAACCAGCGGATAAACAAAACAACACGTTTTGGAATAGTATATCTCACGGGCACAAGGAGGCATGTAATAGATCACCTTGCCCATGCATTTTTCCAGATGAGGAGCAAACCTTCCTGCAACAATTTGTCGCCCACAGTTCATGCAGTTGAACACTTCAGTAGCTACAGGAGGGTGAGTCTGACCAAAAATATCAACAACAAATTTGGTGTTGGTTTCAAGGTTGTTGCTAGGATCAGCGACCTTAGCACGCGCTTCCACTGACAACCTCAACTCCTCTTCTACTACCTCCAAATCACGATCAAGTCCTAGTCGTGCTACCCGATGACACTCAGATGCTACATCAGCAATCACCGAATCCACAAGATCAAGAAAAACTTGGGACGAAAGCTGCAAACAAAGTTCAAGAGCAAAGAAACGTAAATCTAACTTAGTTTCCACTAGGAATTTACTTTAAGAAAGAGGATAAATCTTAATAGTTTTAAAAAACGAGGATGTGGAATTAACAAACAAATTCCCTTTCTTTATCTTTCAAATTGGCACCAAGATTCTAACTAGTCTCCTAGTAATGATGTCAATAGAAGATATGTACATATAAACAGTAAATGAATTCATCAGATGAACAAATACCTCAGCATGGGAAGATTTATTATCCTCTGCGCCAGACATTGAAAATCCTCTATAACACGAAATGCTCACCAAAATGTCTGCGAGAAAATCAAAACCTAATCGTAAAGAGAGATTTCTATCACCATCAGGAGCCCTTGATAAAAGCGAATTTCCCCAAATATCAAAAAAGTCGATCACTCTACCAATTCATCACAGATTTACTGTTTCAGGTTCCAAATCAAATCATACAATAAAACAAATCAAGTCTAAAAGCACTGATACAGAAACGAAATCGCCATCGAATCAGAAAGCTTACACTATAGAGCCGAGTCGCGACGGAGAACGGAGGAGGAGGGAGAGAGAGTTTTTCTCTCTCGATCTGTTAAACTTTACGCTCGGCGGGGAAACAACCAATCATGACCTGCCACGGCACCGAGGCAGCTAAAACATTAAACGGCAAGCGTTTCTTCTCTTAATTATATAAACGACACGGTTCCCCTTTCACCGTGACCCCGAATAAGGAACCACGCTGCTCCACGTCGTCTTTTATCAAAAGCCCATCTCATGGCCCATTCAAATTTCTCTCTTTTTTTTTTGGCAGCGCCCATTCAAAAATCTCTACTTACAGTACTTAGCTTTCTTCTAGTTTGGCACATTTGCATTTTTTTGTTTCTTCTGAAAATGTCTCTTTCAGAACCATCCAATTAATACAAGCATACCACGTTTTCTTCTATTTCAAGAATGCGTGAAGAAATTAGTAATTGTAAAATGGGCCAAATCAAAGAGTAATTAGTTTTTGTATTCATCTGGATAAGGGCAGAAGAAGAAGTAAAGAACATGAGACACGAGGTCTCTTCTTTCTTGAGGAAATTTCCGGGAAAGTCACGGAGTCGGTTATGGGAGCCACACGATAAGGATTTCATTCAAATATACGAAAGCGACGTCGCACAGAAGAGACCAATCCAACCCCCATATGTAGTAGAGCAATCACCAACGAACGTCCCAGTCTCACTTTCTACACCAACCTTTATGCAAAAATCCATCTACTAAATTATCTCCAAAGAAATACATTTTAACTCTTCTTTCCTTCTGTGGTGACATATTGTTCTCATTTGATACATATTCTCCCAAGTCGAAACAAACCTCCCAAAGATGATGTATGAAGCAGGTATGACCGTATGAGCTAAAGAGTTGAGATTCGTGAATATCTGAGATTACCTCTCTAATGGTTACTTCGACGGCCGAGGCCTTGAGTCCTGAAGATGGCGAACGACTTCCTTTCACTAGAGACAGACACTACGCCATGCATGGTGAGATCTTGACGGTAGTTCTTGTCATCGGGTTTGCCGTCTTTCTCTTGTTCCTTGTATTGCTTCCTTGTCTGAAACGCCGATACAGTCACCAGTCCGACCTGTCAGAAGAGGCTTCCTGGAGCGGGACACTCAAGCCCTCACCTGTTGTAAGCAAACAATCGATTTCCACATAGCCATAGGCCAAATAACAAACAAGCATGTATTAAGTATCTGTTACAAATTGTAGAAGCCTCTGTTCGTCATCATATCTCTCACTAATGGATAGAACATTACAACATTGTACCCAACTGCAATTGCAGTTGAAAAATAAGATCTGTAGACAACAACAATATGAGATCTTTCACTAATACGTACATACACAAGAAGATGGGAATTATGAATGCAGTCTTACCTCCATAGCAGCAATCAAGCTCGACCCTTTATTTGATGATACAGAACAAAGAGAGGGCCTTTTTAGAAGAGTAGAATACCGGCCAAGGCAGAGGTTAAGGAAATGGTGAGATTGTCGTCAATGTCGGTGCTTATTGGGAGTGATTCCACAAGAGCTGATGCTAAAGAGATGATGAGGAAACGAAGAATCATTCCCCCGCTATCCTCGATGTAACCGAATGAAGCAAAGTAGTACATATACCCAACAGATGCTAAGAACCCCGCGGTGGCCATTCCAATGCTACCAGCAAATGATTTGTTTTTGTTGTAAGGAAGCTTCTCTGTTCCAAACCGCCGACCCACGATGTCAGCCATACCTTTTAACAGCAAGTGTGTGTAGTAGAATCATCATTCAAAGGATTCAAATTCCCAATACAAAAGTTGCTAATGTTATTGAATCAAAGCAGAGCCAACTGTACGTACCATCTCCTGCGCAAAGGTTGCATATGACTGCAATGGCGATTGGGGATGATTTCCAATAGAAGATGCAGGCTGATGTGATTGACAGTGCATAGTAAAGCGGTCCCTTGAGTAGTTCCCTGATGCAGAGAGCGACTATAGACACTTTGTGAAGTGACAAAAGCAATAACAAACAGATGAACCGAATCTTGATCATAGAAACCAAGATTGCTAAGAAATGGTTGGATATTGCGATCAGATTTAGTTCAAAAACATGTGACAGACACTTTGTCCAATTCAGCTACCTGCGATCTCCATGTCTGCTCATTGACTTGATCGTTCCTTCGTCGTGGTACACTCCAAGCCCCAGCAATAGCATCCTTATTATATTGAGTCCAGGTACAAGAGATGCGAAAAGCGCTCCTTGGATTCCAGAACTGAAACAATTGATATTGGAATAAACTGGTGAAGCAGAAAAGCAAGCTGGTTCGTCAAAATCGATCCTTTCACTCCGTATTACCTGAACAGCGGCCAGCAAAGCATAAAAACTAGCCCAATATTTATATGCACAAGCTTCCGGATGAGTTTCTGAAAAAACAAGAAATAACACCAATGTCAACCACAGATGCTAAACCAATGCCTCAGTCATTAAAACCATGAAAGTTGAGCCAGCCAAAAATCAGACAGCCTGTGGCTCTTATAAATACAATGGGTTCTGAGATGATATCTAGGTCACAATAAGGTCAGAGAAACAAAATCTAGTAGCCGAAGCCATTACAAGTCTTCCCCAACCAAAAATGTTTAATAATCATCGTATTCAGCAGTTTCAAAGTCCAATGTCCACCAGCACCATAAAGAAGATAACTAACTAACATTCCTATACTCCTAACCAAATTACATGAAGAAAAACAAGTCACTGAAGAGAAACTGTACAGTACACATAAGAGAAAGGAAAAAAAAACAAGCCATGAAATAATTCTACAAAGTAAAGCAAACAAATTGTGCAACATTTAGACCTACAAATTCATATAGTAGTTGAATCTTCAAGTTACGCACGGATTACAAAAAACATTTCAGTCCCAAATTGGTTTCTGAGCAAATTTCCTTCTAATTTACCAGATTTGGGGTTACTTTCCAATTTTCTTCACTACACGTTTATCGCTGTATTCTATCCTAAAATACGTCTCCATCCACATTATATAATTTCTCTTGAAGTAATAAGAGTTATGATTCTCGCCATTAATGCCTACATTACTCGAATTAGCTACTACAACTAGTCTGCTGAATTCAAGTTGCTTTAACCAGAAATTGCAGAATCGAGCAAAATTCCAAAAAAGTTGAACAAATCGACGCCTGCGTGTACATATAAGTGAAATTGAAGTATCGAACCTGGTCCAAGAGGTCACGTTTGCCAATCTCTCCCCAGAAACCGAGGCAAGAGAACGCAACGATGCTAGTGATTCCAAACGCGCAGGCATCTGATAAAACTGAATTTCCCGGAAACATCACGGCGGCGAGTGGAAGACGACGTCGTTAGACTCCGAGTAGACTTACGGATTTCGGTCGCCGGAAACCTAGAGCTCGATCTAAAGCTAGTAGTGAGGAATCGTGGAATCGGAGAGAAGAAGCGAGGGATGTTGGCGAGAGAAGGAGGAGAGTCAACGAGAGGAGATGAAATGAAAGAGCAGCAGAGAACGGAGAGCTTAGTAGTAGTTGCCATTTTCTGCAACACTAGAGACGACGACGACCTTTTCTTCCATTACTTTTTTCATCGCATTTACTAATTTTTTTGACAGTCACTGGTTGGTAGTTAGTTGTTTGACAAAATTTGGTTTGTTTTTATTTTTTTCCCAAAAGAAGGTGGAAGTGGATATTTCCCTATTTATTTCCCAAAAGGAGTGTTTTACTATTTTCGGTTTCAGCTTTGTTCTACTTTTGTGTGATTTGGTTTGATTATTTAGTTTTTGGTTTAAAGCCATTTTAGTTTAGTTCTACTTGGATTCGGATAGGTTTAGTTAGAATTAACTATCAACATATAATGAATGATTCGTCGGATAGTTTGTTCCGTGACAACAAACTATCTATCCGAGAATAAAACCCGTTTTACTGGAAAAATTCGACAGATGTGCCATGCTCATCAAGAAAACGAATTTGGAAATACGTCTCCCTTTCACCAATGTGCGAGATGGAAGATCGTTTCAACTTTCAAGTTTTTATAATTTTGTTACCTATAGGTTGAATTTGATACTCCTAGTCCAGACTCCAGACTCCCAGCGTTACAAATCATTAGTCAACCAGACGGACCACAATTTGTTATTGTGGGCCTATTTTGGGCTTATATTTGCTATATAATTCGGGCTGCTAAGTCAACTAGACGGACCACAATTTGATTTCATCAAATCATTTTATGATTAATAAATAATTTAGTTTTATGAAACACAATTCAATTATTGTGCAAATACTCAGAGATTCGAGAAGCATAAAAAAAAAAAAAAAAAAGTGATCAGATTCCCTCACATGGGTTGCCGAGACACATGACCACACGTCTCTTGCTTTTTTTTTTTTTTTTTTTTTTTTTTCTCAAACACCATTTCTATTAAGATATCGGAAAGAGACTCTCCGCTAGGAAGAGCCAATCAGGAACCGACGAACTTACATGGGAAAATAGACTATTCCTAGCCCGAGCTTTTTTAGCTAAACAATCTGCTCGAGTATTAAAACTTCGAGGAACAAATCTAATGCTAAACGACGGAAAAAAACAAACGAGAGATCGGAAAGAGGCCATTTCTGCTGCGAAAGATGGCCAAGCGTCTTGGTTGTCTAGGATAGATATCATGTCCGAGCAATCAGATGCGAATGCGCCATTGGTAATGCCTAGCGAGATCAAACACTCCATTAACAAATGATTAACAATCAGTAAAGAAAGGGTTTGCAATATTTTAAAATCGTGTTGTCATAATGGTTTATTTACATAATACAAGACCACTTCTTTGCTTGTCATTTAAATCACAACTAATCTACCAATAAGACTAAAATTGTCGTTGATTAATAATCTTAAAATGTAAAGCTCAAGTGTTTAGATAGGAGATAACCGATAAGAAAGCACATAACTAGTAAACCTACCTATCTTGGCATCACATGAACCATGACGTTGGATAGTAAAAGAGGCTTGTTTTAACTATAACCAAAACGAACCAAAAATCTTATTTATTTATTTATATTCTCCAAACTATATATAATCATCAGATAACTCTTTAATAAACCAAAATTTTCACAAATTAACAGCCATATATATATATATATATATATATTTTGTTATTTTAAAAATTTTGGGCCTTTTTATACATTTTCTTATAAATAATTAGGCCTCTTAAAATATAATTCTCATATTAATAATATTTTTAAAAAATATTTGGGCCTTTTTTATATGTAAATTTTTTTATAAAAAAAAAAGCCCCGGGCCGTCGCACGAAAAAAAAAAGGAATAAAAAGGAAAGTGGTCTGGTTCGTATCGCACCCAATAAGAACCACCAACTAGAGTCTCAATGAAGTTCGTAAACTGTTCCCCCAAAAAAGCAAAAAAAAAAAAAAAAGACCGATGAGAGATGATGATGACTCCATTTTTTTCCATATAAATGGTTTTTGGGTTTGCAAATGCATAACGGAGGGAGAAAAATTCTCAACCTTTTTTTTTTTGAGAATCGACTTCGACGCCATTACTTATAAAAAAAAGCACTCTTTTTCTTTTCTCTCCAAATTATTGACCTTTTTTAAAAATAAACTTTTGATTTACAATCACACTTCATCGTCTTCTTCTTTCTCTCTCTCTATCTCTCTCCTTTTTGTCTCTGCACTGTTTGTTGTCACCGGAGACAGAGCGTGTGTGTTTCAACTCTCTCTCGCTCTCTCCGTCTCCATCTCTCTCTCTCTCTTCTTCAAAATCAAACCCTTTTCTCAGTGATATTGCAAAATGCGCAATCTAAAACTCTTTGAGAGATTTAAAAGCACCCAAGTCCACGCCTTTACTACACAAGACTCTCCCTCTACAAGCAGCAATGATAGCCTTCGAATGTTGAAGTTCTTAGGCCATCCCAAATCCAGTTCCAAATCCAAATCTCGTTCACTTCTCCCTCATGGGTTTCCCACCACTGACCTCCTCGAGCCTCTCTTGGAGTCTTACCTCAAACCTATCGATTTGGTGGAGTCATTATCAAATCTCTATCGAAGAATCGAATCCAGCTCACAATCCGAGACGTCGATGCTCTACCTTGAGCAGTACGCTGTTCTCCGCAGTCTCGGTGATGCCAAGCTCTTGCGTAGGTGTCTGCTCAATGCTAGGAGGCACGCCATTGATGTCCCTTGTAAGGTTGTTTTGTCTGCTTGGTTGAGATTTTTTAGGAGAGAATACGAACTTGTGGGAGTTGAATCTATGGACTGTAATGGGCTTGCTACTGAATGTCCCAAGACTAGTTTGACTCATGGTTGTGATTTGAATGTAGACGACGAGGGTTGTGAATGCTCTACGGTATGTGAGGATGACTTTTGTAGTGATGACATTAAAATCTCTAGGGCTGATGAGTTTTCTGGTCTAGATGAGGTTAGCGACATTTCTTTCTGCGTAGGTTCAGAGAAGGCTAAGTGTGTTAGGTCGAGAATCGCAGCGCTTTCGCGTCCTTTTGAGGCCATGTTATATGGTTCTTTCGTGGAATCAAGAACTTCTGAGATTGATTTCTCGGAAAATGGCATCTCAATTGAGGCAATGGTGGCATTGAACATATATAGTAGGATCAAAAGAGTTGATCTGTTTCGTGTTGAAACTGTCTTTGAGCTGCTTCAATTAGCCAGCAAGTTCTGTTGCGACGATCTGAAGTCTGAATGTGAGGCTCGATTGGCTGCTTCTGTTACTAACCTCGATAAAGCTTTAACCTTTGTAGAGTACGCTTTGGAGGAACGCACAACGCTTCTCTTATCTGCTTGTTTGCAGGTGTTTCTGAGAGAGCTTCCTCAGTCTCTTCACAATCCCAAAGTGATGAGATTCTTCTGCAGTTCCGAAGTGAAAGAACAATTAGCTTATCTGGGTTCAGAGTGTTTGTTCCTGCTGTACTACTTCCTCAGCCAAGTAGGCATGGAAGAGAAACTCACGACGGAGCCTATGCTGATATTGCTAGAGAGAAATCGAGAGTTTGCTCGCACAAACTGGCAAAAGGCTTTGTCTTTGCATCAAATGGGATGTGTTCTGTTTGAGAGAAAGGATTACAAAGCAGCCCAGTTTCATTTCAGATTAGCTTCAAGCTTAGGGCATGTGTACTCATTGGCTGGGGTATCAAGAACTGAATATAAACAAGGGAAGAGGTATTCGGCATACAAGCTCATGAACTTTCTCATCTCCAATCACAAGCCACATGGATGGATGTACCAGGAAAGATCTCTGTACAATGTTGGGGTTGAGAAACTAAAAGATTTAGCAACCGCCACTGAACTTGACCCGACATTGACTTTTCCGTACAAGTACAGAGCCGTGATGAAATTCGAACAAAAGCAGATTAAAGAAGCCTTCGAGGAGATTGATAGATTAGTTCAGTTCAAACTTAGTCCAGAATGTCTCGAGCTGCGGGCTTGGCTATTTTTAGCCACTGGTGACCGGGAGAGGTGTTTGAGAGATCTAAGAGCAGTGTTGTCTTTAGAGCCGAATTATGTTGTGTTTGGTGGGAAAATGAGAGATGATTTGGTGGAGGCTCTGACCGCGCAATGTTTTGAAGTAGAGAGTGAAGCGGATTGTTGGGTGAGGCTTTTCGATAGATGGTCAGCTGTGGATGATATTGGGTCGTTGGCTGTTGTTCATCAGATGCTTCAGAATGATCCCAGCAAAAATTTTCTGAGGTTTAGACAATCTCTTCTTCTCTTAAGGTAAAAAGAATTATCTTTTGTTTCTCAGGCAAACCCTGATTGGTGAATTATTCAGGAGTTGACAAAAGCTACATTTTTTTGTGATCTGTGACAGATTGAATTGTCAAGGAGCCGCGATGAGGTGTTTGCGAATGGCATGGAACTTGGCTACTTCTGAGGCAGAGAGGTTGGTCTACGAAGGGTGGCTTTTATACGACATGGGTTATGTGGAAGAAACTCTTACTAAAGCCGAGGAGGCAATCTCTATTCAGCGATCCTTTGAAGCATTTTTTCTCAAAGCCTATGCTCTAGCTGACAAGAATCTCGATGCGGACGAGGTCTCTTGTGTGGTTCAGGTTCTAGAGGAAGCCCTCAAGTGTCCTTCGGATGGGCTACGCAAAGGACAGGTTGGCATTTTGATATCTCGCCTTTCTCTTTCTCTTATTCACACTGTAATCTCATTAATCTTTTTGTTATGCTTCTACAGGCTCTGAACAACCTTGGGAGCATCTACATCGATTTGGGGATGCTAGATCAAGCTGAAACCGCATATAAGAACGCTATAGAGATCAAACACACTCGTGCACATCAAGGGCTGGCGCGAGTTTATTTCTTGAAGAACCAACGTAAAGAAGCGTGTGAGGAGATGACAAAGCTGATCGAGAAGGCGTGCAGCAAAGCAGCAGCCTACGAGAAACGGTCTGAGTACTGTGAACGTGAAAAAGCCAAAGAGGATCTTGACATGGCCACAACACTCGACCCTCTGCGAACTTATCCCTACAGATATCGAGCTGCCGGTAACTAACTCTTCCTGTTCCCTATTAACATCTTATAAATTCTAGTAGTTAAAGAAGTGATTGTCTGTGTGGCAGTGCTGATGGATGATCAGAGAGAGACAGAAGCAGTGGAAGAGCTATCAAAGGCGATAGCTTTCAGACCAGAACTGCAAACACTGCATCTCAGAGCAGCATTTCACGAGGCCACAGGGAATCTGTCATTGGCCACTCAAGACTGTGAAGCTGCTCTCTGTTTGGACCCTAACCACACCGAGACGCTCCATCTCTACAGCAGATCCAAGGATCAAGCTTCTTCCATTGACAACACCATTTTTGGCTTAGATTAATTTGAAGGTATCGACCATATTATCCCATTTGTATATTTCATTGGGATCGATCTATACATAGATTTAACTTTTATTTTCTTCTTCTATACATGGATGCTGTAAATAAACTGCCATTTATTAATCTTACCAATGGTTTCTATGCAAAACCAACTTTTTTTAGTATCAGTGAAGAGTCTTTTAATGCAGAGGAACAAAAAAAAAAGATGATCATCACTTCAGTGTCATTTGTGTATATATATACAGGGGACACCTAAAAGGACGGCTTCTTTCTCTTTAGTTTCCTTCTGTGGATATGATCTCCAGCTCTGTCCACCACCGTGGAGACAGTCTCGGCATTGCTGCGTCAGCTTCTATTCCAGTTATCTCTCTCAATTTCACCACAACCTCTCTCATTGTTGGCCGCTGAGCTGAGTATGGATTCATACACTGCCTAACCACCTCCAAGAGTCTCTCAACAACATCCTCCTGAAACGTTTTCAGTTTCGGGTCCACAATATCTCTTGCGGGCTTGGGTTCAAGAAACAAAGAATCCGGGTCTGGTAACTTCCCACTGATGATTTCGAACACAACGGCACCAAAGTTAAAGACGTTGGTCTGGGTATCAAGTAATGAGGGTTCTAGAAGGTTCTTGCTCGAGGAAGCCTCCTTAGCGGGAAAGATGGAGTTGATGACAGAAAAGTCGGAGACTTTGGCGGCGTTGTCTTCAGTCAAGTAGACAGAAGAGGAGTCCAAATTGGAGTGCAAGATGGGTGGGTTGAGATTGAGCATGTGCTCTAGACAGTAAGCTATTCCCATGAAGATTCTGAGTCTGGTAGGCCAGTCCAAGTGCTCCACGTGTTGAGCTGCCATGAAAGATCAGTTCAAAGATTGTATTCAGTTAAATCAAAAAAGATTTCTGGGGAAGATGAAATCCTCACAGTGCAGATGCTCGGACAGGGATCCATTGGGAGCGTATTCAAAAACCAGCATTCGGTTAAAGGGCTCTTCATTATGGCAATAACCAATCACATTCAGAAAGTTCTTGTGATCCACTTTGGATAAGTTATGCATCTGCAGAAACAGAGCAGAGTTATTCATCAATGGCAATGCCAATCTTTGTTCATTGTTCAAGACAAGCGCAAGCGAAGTTCTGATACCTTCTGTAGCAACTGTGTTTCCATGGCGGTGGACCAGGCTGCACGAGAACCAGTTGCAATAGACACAACGGCGATTTCAGCACCAGTGGACAAAGTTCCTTTATAAATGGTGCCGTCTGAGAAAGATCCGATGACGTTACTGAAATCTTCGCAGGCTGCTTGCAGCTCAGATAGCTGCAGCCTCGGAACATCAGCTGCAATACAAAACTATAAAATTAAAGAAATTCGATATGAAGAGAGAGAAAAAAGAGAGGTGAAGACTGAAGAGTGTGTTTGCCTGCGATAAGAGCATCTCGAAGCTGGCCACTGTTGGTCCAAGGCTTGATTGGAATCTTTCGACTGAGGATAAGAAAGATGATGATTAATGCTACCGAGACTGTGAATACGCCAACGACTATGCCGACGATCATATAAACTTTGGAAGACTTCTTTGTAGTTTCTGGAGACGGAGGAGGAGATGGAGGTGGAGCCAGAGGTACAGGCAAAGGAGTAATAGCAGGAGGGTTCTCTGGTGTTTGTGATCTCACACCACTTTGAGGAGGGCTCGGGGTTTTGTCGCCTTCTAGTGGTGGCTGAGGCGGCAGGGGATCTCTGAAGATTGCAGATTCCGGAGATGGCGGGGAGGCATCCAGGGCAGGGGATTTGCCAGGAAGAGGTGTATCAATCAAGCTGCGACGGTTCCCATAAACTCTGGGCTGGATCGATAAGTGATCTTGAGAAGAACCAAAGACTTCTACAATCTCTTCAAGAAATGAATAGTCATCATTTAAAGAGACACGCAAAAGATTGCATAGAGAAACAGGGAGATGAGGATCAAAAGAAACTACCTTGAGAGTTAAGAGTCAGAGGAAGAAAGGTGAGGAAGATGATGGAGAATACTGTTCGGAGAATGAATCTCCGCCGTCTATTGGAACTCATAGGAGATTGATTTGTTTGCTTCTGTGGTTTGTTACCGAAAGAAGGAGGAAGGAAGAGAATGTTGGAGGAGCAGTTGAAGTCGTCGTTGAGGATCAAGAAGACTAATCAACGGTTGCTAATACTCTTTCAACCTTTTTTAATTATCATAAACCCAACGACCAATTTTCATTACTCTCTTTAAGATTTTTCTTTTAGAAAAGCAACAACAGTTTGAAGTTTATTATACACACTTGACACTTGTGGAAGTTACTTAACAAAGTCATAGAAGTTAAATCATGATAAGTTTTTATTCAGGTTTACGCAATTGTCATATATTTCTTTTACCAAATTTAATTTTCACTAAGAAATATGTTCTTGATTTTGTAGCTAGACTAATCTAAATATGCGACACGATAACGGCTTTGAAACATACAAGATTCTCATGCAAATTAAAATACCTAGTTCTTTGGCATATATTAGCATGTGTACAAATGCAACGCACGGCTACTCGATTGGTCGAAGTATCAATGGGTCAGTGATTGCTCGATACAACCCGGCTTCGAGTAGCTGTAAGTCATACATACACACAACAACAACCAAAACATAACCTCTATATATTAATTGAGAAAAAGGTATTATAAAATACCTTATAATTTTAGTTTTTTTTTTGTATGGCTATAATTTTAGGTTTAATATGGTGGAATTTATTGGATAAAATTTAGAGTAATATATTACTGCATCGTTCTTTTATATTTGAGGTTTTAAGAAAATACACAGATTAATAAATCATTTAACTTTTATTTAATTCTAAACAAAAACATCATTTATTATCTAATCAATCAATAAAAAATAATCTGCATAATAAAAATCATCAAAACTAATAAAAAATTAATTAATATTGCATCGAAAACTGAAAATATTATCTATTTAAGAACAAAAATATAAGCTTAAAACATAATTTATAAAAGAACGGAGAGAGTATTAACAAGTAGAAACCAATATTTATATAATTTGTTACTTATTTTTAAAACCATAAAAAAGTGATCAAAGCCACTGGCAATTTAAATTAAGTAGATAACAATTCACTAGAGTTGTTACATTTTACAAGTTCATAATATTAATTTTAAAATTATGGTATTGCAGGGTTTTAGTCAATCGCATCTACAAAATAACAAACAAAATTACAAACCAAATCATTAAAAACTAATAATCATTTTTTCCGATGATTAAAAATTAATAATCTTTGCAATGGACCAATGGTTATATTTCACCTATTTTCGGAAATTTTGATCTGAATATAAACTCAAACAACCAAATATTATTTCGTACGTTAACTCAATGATATGGACGGACAATCAATCCTCCATATATGAAGCGTTATAATTTTTATAAATCAATTAATAATAATAATGTCATAATTGGAAATAATAACACCAAATGTACCATGCACATGTATATATACATTCTTTCGTAGGCCAGAAATGTGTTATCGTCCATCAATTTATTCATCTTTGCTACTTTTGCAAAATTTATTCTTTTTTTTTTTTTTTTTTGCTATTTTTGAAATTAAAATATTCAACTATGCTAGAAGGCTAGAAGCACAATTTAGACCTTTCGTTTTTTTTTTCTTCCATACCACATTTAGATCTATAATTTAAAATTCGAAAAATAGAGTATCACTTACATACTATAATCTTCGACAGCAAATAATACTTAGCTGCTAATCACGTTCACATCACATGATCTAATGATTTGTTTTTCTTTTGACGAATCTAATTATCCAAAACAAATCTGAAGCTACCTCTTTTCCATTACGAATTATACAAATTGGAAACTTCTGAAAAATTAGATTAAAAACAAATATTTAATTATTCCAATTTCTCGTATCAGAAATTTAAACCAAAAAAAAAAACTGAAAATCTAGGAATTAATTAGGCTGGAGATGAGGAAATGAACAAGAAGAACACCTGACGAGACCATTCTCGTTGCAGGTTAAGCAAGTTCTGAACCCTAGCTTCTCCGTATGAACCTTATGGCTACCGTGACAATCCTTACACGGTACGAATCTATGACCACCACACATCTCACATACCCCTGGTTCAATCTTCGGCAACTCTTGTACAAGCTTCTTCAACTCTCCGATCTCGTGAAGCTGTTTCACCTCCTCCGCTCCTCCTATGTAACGACCACCGATGAACACTCGCGGCAGCTTCGGCGTCTTCGTCTGGTTCTGGTTTTCATCCTTCCCGAAGATTCGTTGTAGCTCGGTGGAGAATGACGCGTCCATTGAGAGATCTCGTTCGTCGATTCGTACGGGGAAGCTATGGAGGATCGATGTAACGGATTTGCAGGCTTCGAATGTTGGACGAACCACACGGAGGCTTGTGAAGTAGACGACGATGCTGTTCTCTGCGCCTGGGATTGAAATCCGTACATCTGGCTCGGTTTTGGTCTTCGATTGTTTTGAATCTGATTCTAGGTTTAGATTCCGGCGTAGATTGATAGGTTCGGAATCTGCGCGGAGGAGCTGATTAGATTGACGAGTAGGCCACGATTTGAGGATCAAATTAGCTGCGCGGACTCGGTGGAAAACTCTAGAAGCGTTTTTTGGAGATGGAGAAGGAGAAGAAGGGTAGGAAGGTGGATCGTCGGAGCAGAGATGGTGGATGTCTTTAAAGGAAGCGGTGGTTGGAGAGTATGTGTCGTGAATTTTGACCGACGATTTACGCCACGGCCGCCACATTGACGGTGGTAGAAACGGCGGTGAGAGTTGAAGATTTGGGGAGACTAAAATTAGGGTTTGTGTGGGATTTGCAGAGAAATGGAGTTTTGGGGAAGAAGAGAGAGAGAGAAGAGAGAGGGCTGGTTAAAAAAAAAAGTGGTTGGAAGATTTTTGGAATTGTTAAATCTCTCCTTATTTGGTTTTGTTACTTTTTTTTTTTTTTTTTGGTTTCTAACATTTGGTTGTGATAAAACAGGTGATTTTAACGTTACTAATTATAATTAGGTGAAAAATTAGATGCTAATTATAGTTACTATTCTGTTTAATGCTTTCTCTATTTTCCAAGATTTATAGGTTGAACACACTTATTATAAGATCAAATCTGGAATTAATACAGGTGAGGTGAATTTGGAATTTCAGATTAGTATTTTCTGCATTTAGTAAAAATAAGGAAGACTTAAATTATTCTTTTGAATTAAAATTGCTGGGTAAGAAAAAATATTTATTTTTAACAGAAATGGTTAGAATTACGAAATCTTAAAAAGATAATTCTACAGCATTAGAGCATCTAATTTTCTTGGCTAGAGGTGTGTAGCTAATCTATGGATACTTTGCATTTTTCTAAGTTATAAATTGTAGTATATTTTAGGTCAACTTTTCATTGAACTAAAAGTATAGGGAATTTAATTTATTGTACTATAATTACTATAAATAGGACAACACAAATCCACATGAGATTAAAACTGATCCTTCAGTTTGGGAAACTACTCGTAATAGAGTGAGTATATAGGTCTGAAACTGTTATCTGAGATTCCAGCACTAATGTTGTCTACATTAACGGATCACATACATATAAACCCCAAATATTTGCTAGATACATCGATTATATACTACATATGTAATTATACGCTAAGATACTAATCATATTTAATTGGGAAAGTGGTTTGAGAAAACGATAAACGTTATGAACTTGAATAAGTACTGTGGGATAATAAAGACTCTATGACAAACAAACAAAAACCCCAAAAAGTGTCGTTCAATCTTCGTTTTGGAGTATTTGAAAGGTGAATAAATGAAATTAATTACAGTAAATGTTTATTACTCTTTATATATGAATGCATTCAAACTTCAAAGTCAAAGAGAAAAACTGGCAATAGTGTTGGGGATTGTTTAATGGGATTTATGTTCCTATAATATGCACAGCTGTATTCAACTTATACTATATACATACCCTATCTGTTTCACACAGTATTAAATTTATATCTTGACTTTTATTTTAATCTTCGTATTTATATGAAATAAGATCAAGTATAAAAAATACTCCATAGTATATAAAACATATAATGAGTATGAAACGGGTTTTTTTTTTTGGTCATCTGGAATTATATTGATCAGAGAGATGTAATATACAACATAACCAAAAAATTAAAATACATTAAGTGAGCACAACAACTCAAACTTAAGCGAGGCAACAGAAAGCCACTTACAAACAAAATAAGGGCTATATCACAAGAATAAAAACTCCCACGGAGATAACCAAACCCCAAAAAAACTCAAATTCAATCACAGGCCCCAACCCTTTCTTCAGCAAATAAACCATCAAGCCATGAAGGATGACTACGCGCGACATATGAATGCAGTCTACACTCATTAGTCACACTCTTCGCGATGAGAAAGGCACCTCTGTTTGAAAATGAGTTTTCCAAAAGAATTTTCCAAGCCGAGAAACACTTAAGAGCCAAAATAGCTTCCATAGACTGATATCTAAAGGAAGGCCACGCAACCGGTCTATTGATATATAGCCTTGACCAAAACTTCAACCTGCAAAGCAAAAATCACCTTCACAACCCTGTGACTCCGCATACTTTCAATAGCCCACATCAAGCCTAAAAATTGAGCCTCTTCCTTCACATTCACCCTGACAAAGGCTCTTCTACTATGAAGTAAAACAACACCACAATGGTCTCTTAAAACCCATGCACAACCAGCAAGCTTGTTCCTGTTGGACCAAGATATACCAATATTACATTTGAGCCAATTAGGAGGAGGCGGCATCCAACCAGACTTGTCACCATTAATACTCTGTCTCTGATCATTATTCTGTTGATTCACCCTACACAACACAGGCAACAGACCTTCATCTTCATTTTTCTGAGCCTCAATCCATTCAAGCCAATCCTCTCTAATTTTGTTTGCAGATTCCAAAGGAGAGAAGCATTTTCCTTCAAAAGAAGCCATGTTTCTGTTCTTCCATATACGCCATAAGGTCCACGGAAATGACTCTCTAAGTTCAACAGGCCATAACGAGTTCTTAATATTCATTAAGAGGTCATGAATATTAGCAAAAACAGAACCATTTTGAAAACCCCAGTTTGGCGAACGACTATCAGTTAACGCCCATACCTGTCTA